GCTCCCCTTTAATGTAAAAGTGCATGGGGCTGACAGGATAAAACTGCTCAGATTAAATGCAGGGAGTGGACAAATCCTTTTAATTTTTCAATTCTTGGAGTGTTCTACAAAATACATTTTTATTTGATCACAAACATACAATTTCATTTCAAATTTGAACACCTCATTAATTATAGTGAGACTTTTGATATGCAAATTTACAACTGTTTAAAGCAAAGTTGAAACACACTGATAATAAGGTTTCAAAGGATATAGCAATGTTCTAAGGGAAACTAATAGGGAGATATCGGTTTTCATGATCAGTTCATTTCATCTCATTACGCAATGCCAGTATGAATAATTATACTGCAACACAATTTTGGTAATTTTTAGCTGGAATTCATTTTCTGTGAATTCAATGGATTCATTTTCATTCTTTTTCAATGATTAGTCATAAAGTTTATGAATGTATGTACCGTAATTCAAATACTGTCCTGGAAATGTCAGGGGAATAAGTTGCATTGAGAAAAAAATTTTGCATGACTTAGGATACCGGGAATGTTTATATGCATAGTTTAGTTTGTCAAAGAAGATTGGTGGGCAAATAAAATAATTAACGTGTTTCTGATAACATTGAAAATAAAAATTGGGTAGGATAACTTATTATTCTGTCATATTATTAGTCCCCGTTCGGACGCAGTCCGAAAACGGGGACTTATGTTTTGCCCTGTGTGCGTCCGTGCGTCCGTGCGTCCGTGATCACCTGTATCTTGAACATGCATGGACCGATTAAGTTCAAACTTCACTCATACATCACACCTTATATGGGACATATGCACATGCATTTTTTTCATGATCCGATTAACGATAGCCGAATAGCGGCCATTTTAAGGCCGAAAATGCATCAAAATCGCACATTTTCACCATTCCGGACCCGGATCTCAGTTATGCATGGACGAATTTTGTTCAAATTTGGTACATACATTAAACATAATAGGACCTTGATGCACGTCATTTTTTTTTTTGGATCGGGTTCGAAATGGCCGACTGGCGGCCATTTTGTTTTAAAGAATTCAGTTCTGGATCCGTATCCGAGACATGTCTGGATTGATCAAGTTCAAACTTCACACACACAAGGTACATCATATCACAAATATGTATGTGCATTTGTTTCATGATCTCATTAACGATAGCCAAATAGCGGCCATTTTAAGGCCGAAAATGCATCAAAATCGCACATTTTCACCATTCCGGACCCGGATCTCAGTTATGCATGGACGGATTTTGTTCAATTTGGTACATACATTAAACATAATAGACTTGATGCACGTCATTTTTTTTTT